GAAGTGCTTTTAAATGAACTCCCTGAAAGGAGTTCAATATGTCACTGTCCCATGGCTTAGAATGACCTGGGGTTGGACTGCAGTTCTGCAAACCACTGAATGGCCCTGGAAAAGTATCTCATGTCACTGACTCACAGTGTCCTTCTCTGTGAAGATAAAACCTCTGAGCATCAAGTGAGCCAGGATAAGGAGGCCCATGTGAGGCTGAGTGTGGGGGCACATGCCTAGCACCCAGGAGGCAGAGGCAGACCTCATTCTGTGAGTTCCAGGCCAGCCTGGTCTCCAAAGTGAATCCAGGACAGCCAGCCAGGGCTTGTTACACAGAGAAACCCTGACTCAAAAAAAAAAAAAAAAAGAAAAAGAAAAAGAAGCATGTGCTATAGTTGTTGCTCACTAAGTATTCCCATTCACATGTCAACATGTCAGTAAACCTGATGGTGACACAAACCAAACACTCAGCCAATCGCAGCTCAAGTAACAGAGATGTACTGACCCCTGTTATGGGAGGAAGGCAGAGGCTGGAAGCCTGGAGTTTGTTGGGGGAGCTCCATGGCTGGTAGAGGTCCTGGTTTCATTTCTGTTGCTGTGATAAAATACCCAGACAAAAAGCAACTTAGGGGAGAAAAATGAAATTTTGGCCCACCATTCTAGATCACAGTCCATGACTGTGGAGAAACCAAGATGGCGGGGACTTGAGTTAGCTAGTAACAGCACATCCACAGTGAAGGGCAGAGAGGAATGAATGCGTGTGTGCCTCTGCCCAGCACTCTCACTACATGCATACATTTCGGGATTCCTTACATAGGGAATGGTGCTGCCTTCAGTGGGCAGGACCTCCCCACATCGATTTATGAAACCAAGACAATCCACCATAGGCAGAGACTACAGATGATCCCTCATTGAGATTCTGTTTCCAGGTGATGCTGAATTGTATCAAGTTGACAATTAAAATTAACCGTCATGTAAGGAATCAGCCTCTGCCCATCTTCTAGCTGTTCCATCCTTAATGTGTTCGCATGGTCACCTCATAATTCGAGGAAGACATTCGACTTCTAACCAGCTCATTTACATCCCAGGCAGGAGATAAAAGTATGGCAGAAAAGGAAGATAGATAGCGAAGTTAAATTTTTTTTATAAAGAACATACCTAGATTCCACCGAACGACTTTCACTTATCTTGTCGGCCTCTGCAAGAGGTGCTGGGAATGGTAACATTTAGTGCAGTACATTGCCACCCTCAAATAAGAGCGGGAGTCTGTTAGAAACAAGGTGTGCTGGTTAGCTTTTAGTGCCACAGTTTGGCACAATCTGGAATTACCCGTGAAGACGGAACCTCAGTTGAAGAACTGCCTTGATCAGACTGGTCTGTAAGGCCGAAGACGGGGGTTTTCTTGATTGTTAAGTCATGTGGGAAGACCACTGAAGTCAGTAGTCCTCTCCGTCTCTGGCAGGTGGGTCTGCGATGTATATTGACTGAACATCAGTCAGAGAATGAGCCAGTAAACAGCTTTCCTCCGTGGTTCCTGCTTTGAGTTCCTGCCCTGATTTCTCTCTGTGATTGGTTACTTGCGATCTGGAAGTGTAAAGCTGAGTTGACCCTTTTCTCCCCAAGTTGCTTTTGGTAAGCAGGTTTTATCACAGCAACAGAATGAGAACAGAAAACAAGGGGAGAGTGGATACTTGGGTAACAACCAGCAGTCTCTGTGACATTCCTTTTTCACATTCCTAATGGCACTTTTGGTCGGACGTTGTGGCACTACCACAAGCCAGCTGGCAGCTTCTGAATCACAGCACAGGACAAGGCAAACAACTCTTGAGCAATGAGTGGACTCAAAATGGCAGAAATTCAGAAAATTATCTCTTTGGAGTCAAAGATCAGATGCCTAGGGTTTTGTGTCTTTGAACTTGGGTTCCAGGTCTGTGATTAGATTACTGAGCTGAGCGAGGACTTTCACAATGGTGGATGGAGAAGATGGCCACATTCTTGAAAGAAGGTGAAGCTTCCAGTCATTTGCAAAGCTGCTTGCTCTCAAAATATCACAATATACCCCAGATGCCTGCATTGCATTTTAATAGGATGCCCTGTTGGGTCAGGTTGAAACTTCCTGGAGTGGTAGTCTCTAACAATCCATTGACTCTACCAGGCAAAACCAGGCACCTCCTCTGAAACCCCGCAATCACGGTCCAACCTACAAGTTCACTTTAATTCTGTCTTCACACTCCCCACCTTGATGGTATATACAGGCTCCAGTGTCCTGGGATCCTGCGACAAGATGACAATGAAGCTTTCCAATTGGAGCTTGTGTGACTGGAGGCAAGTAAATTAACCTGCACTCCAGTTCCAAACTGAATGGCTTATACCTGGTGACTTAAAAACAGCTGTGTGCTGAGTCCCATAGCAGGCACTGGAGGAGGGGACAAAGAAACAGGAGCTTGCCTTCAATGGACTGCCAAGCTCAGAGCATGGACAGGAGGAATGAATGCAAGGTGAGCTTTACTCCCAACTCTTTTCTTGAGAGAGTTGGCCAATCCAGGTGTACCAGAGGGAGTCCACGGGTGACAGAACTTCTATTCCTGCTTGTCACCGAAGGGATGCCAGCATAGGCTTCTGATGATGTGGGAGGACCTTCAGGTCACACCAGCGTCTGACATGCATTTTTACTCATCAAGTGCGTTGGCTCTCAAGCAGGAATGGTTGAGTTCAAACAGTTTTGCAATTTTTTGGTTGTGTGCCCTTGAGCAGAAGTTAGTAATCTCTTGATCTACAGGAGAAGCATCGTATCAGTACTGTTCTCACGGGAAGGCTAAGGGAATTAGGATGGACTGAGATTGCCCATGAGAACATGCTCCCTCACCTCTGCCTTCTGTCCTCTGCCTTCTGTCCCAGCAAACACCAGTTCTCAGGCTGCAATTTCAAAATAACATCTTGAAGTTAGGAATAGACATGTCTTTCCCTCTCTCTGTTCCCCGTTCCACCTTTTGGCTCCGCCTGTTTGCTAGTGTCAAACATGGTTGTAATACAACCGTCAAGTCTGAGCTCCCCACCCCACTCCATCCACTCAGTGGGCCTTCTGGATGGCAGATGTACCCTCTCCTGATCAACATTCTGCCATATTAGAGGTGCAAAACTGGAGACACTCATTCTCTTAACCTATTCCCTTCTATTGAATAGAGAAATATGATGGGTTGCATCCAAAACTAGTAATGCCCATTCACCCAGAGGGTATAGGCCTCTGGTTTCTCTCTCCAGCCAAGTTCTAGGAATCGGTGCTGCTCTACTGTATGAGAAATGTGACCAGCAGACTCAGTGACTGAGATTTTGCCTGCAACTGACAGATGACCTCTGCCAGCTGGAGAAGGTCTAGGAAGATTTAGGTTGAAGTTGTCTAGATTATCACGGTGAGAGTCAGGAAAGAGCCCTTACTCCCCTAGAACCTGCAGCCCGAAGAGGGGAATATGCATTTGAAGTGGGGACATTGGGGGCTTGGCCTTAAATACAGTCTAACTACAAAATAACTCTAATAGGGAGTGTAAATCATCCAGGCCCAGTGGCCCATGAGGTATGAAGGAGGCTTTGGGCTAAGGTAGGATCTGGAAGGCTAGTGTTTGAGCCCCAAATTTTCTGACCCGGGATTCACTCAGTGTCTACACAAGGAAGCTGAGGGCTTGCAGTGTCCGAAAAGTCCCTGGACCTGAGAGGTAAGGATTTCCTGGTTGTATACATCTATGTACACATTCCACAAATACTTTCTGAGCACTTTTTTTTTTTTTTTTTTTTTTCTGGCTAGAGTTGGTTCCAGAGGATGGGGACTCCATAGCAAAAAAGATTGGGTTAACTTGGAGGGGCTTAGAGCTGAATACAGGAAGCATCAGTTAAAGCGATTCTGAAAGAAAAAAGAAATGATTTTGTGATCTCAATCAAAGAACTCTAATGGTGTGGAACGGCTATCACTGTGTGTCAGAATAGGGGTGGAGGCCGAGGAGATCCTAAACAGGGGGAATGGCAGGCAGTGCGCTCATCTGCTTTAGGAACCCTTGGCCTGTGTTAGGCAAAGAAATTGTGCCCAAAGATGCCCAGACCCAAATCTCTAGGATCTGTGGATTTGCTACATTATAGGACTTGTGAGGCTGCCATCAAGGGGCCCTTAGCCAGCTTTTGCTGGATGATTGGGGCAGTTTACTATATTCAAGGGGGTCCTTGAAAGTGGAAAAGGGAGGGGCTGGTGACAAGGCTCAGGGTAAGGACCCCTGTTGCCTAGCGTCAAGCCAAACTTTGATTCAACAGATCTCCATGGTGGAAGGAGAGAACAGATTCCTCCTGCACGTTGTCCTCTGACCTCTGTCTATGATCTGCACATGTGCATGCATACTCCCACACAAGCATGCAAACAAATAAATGAAAATGTTTTCTCCCTTTCTTTCTTTTTTTTTAAGTGGAGGGAGATGGAAGAAAGCCAAAGAAAAAGTTCTGATACTGGAAGCAAAGTAATAATGTGTGGAAGGCCGTTGGTGGTGACAGCTTAGAAACAGATCCAAGGAGACGCAGAAGGGTCACAGGAGGGCACCCAAGGGCAACGCCAAGACCCCAAGGCCAGGTGCCCCTTCTTCCCCTTCCTGCAGGCCCTCCCTATTCTTGGGGGCAGCGTCTCAAGGACAAGTCCCAGGGGACAAGGTGGTTTGGACAGCTGTGCTATATGCATCCCCACTTCAGGTCCCCGACACCGGCCAGGCCAGCCGTCTCCGCTTTCCCTCCGCCAGTGCCCGGACCTCAGGCTGCTCTTTGGCGGCCATCGAGGTTGCTGCCTGCTTTCCCGAGGCTCGGGACCCACGTGGCACGAGCGGGGGTCGGCGCCGGGAGCCGGCGGCTGGTCCTGTGGGCTTCTCACTTCCCCTCCCCAACCGCCTCGCGTGCAGGTGCCACGCGGAGCCCCGCAGGCGGGGCGGGCCCCGTGGACACGCCCCCGTGGGAGTCCCGGCTGCCCGGCGGGAGGAAGCGCCAGAGTCGCCGCTGTCCCGAGCGCAGCAGGGCTCCGCTCCCGCACCGCGCGCCGGCGACGTCGCTCCCGGCGGCTGCGGGCACCGAGGACCGCGCTCCGGGCGGGCCGGGGATGCGAGCTGCGCCCGCGACGGCATGGCAGCCTCAGGTGGGTAGCAGGCGCGGCGCTGCCCCGCTCCCGGCTCGCGGCTCGCGCGCCTCTCCTCTGGTCCCTGAGCCTCTCTGGCACCTCCCTCCCGGCTTGGAGGCCTTTCCCCTCACTTTTTTAGTTTTAGTGCGCGGATCTTGTGTTCTTTCTGCTCTTTTCTCCGGTCTGCCGCAAACTTCCCCACCTAACTTTGTCACGTTTCTCCTAACCAGCCTGTGCGCGATTCTCTCCAGCTTCTGTCCGAGCCTCGCCCCATCCCAGTTTCTAAGTCTTCTTTTTCTCCCTTCAGCTCTGGCTAAGTTGCCAAGGGTCACTTTCTCAGCTGTAACTCTTGAGGATCCAGACAAGTTGGTAGCAGGTGGAGGGGTGGCTTCTGGAAGAGGCCGGATCTTTAGGATCTTCTTCGACCCATAGGGGGCGCTCAAACCGTCCTTGGTGGTCTTGGGACAGTGTCCAAAGACCCCTACGTCAGCTGGGCTTGTATTTCTTCTTTGAAATTCTTCTAAAAACCGAGGCCGCACTTCTTTAGTGTTATTCTTACACCGTTCTCTGCGGAACTTTCGGGCCTAGGGAGAAATGGAAATTGGTGGGCAAATCTACCCATTGGAAGGTGCCAGAAGTTCTTCTGGTTGGTTTGGGGTTCTCTTCTGGCTTATGGGCATACACGCTTGGTAAGTCCTTAGCTCTCTGAGGTTTGGGACAAACCACATAATGATAATGTTTAGAGACGGTTAATGAGCCCTGCCTATACACCTCAGTGGACAGAAGGCGTATTATGTTTTTGGTGATGCCCAGATTAGCCTGTCTCTGGTTCACCACAGGGTTTTAGTGGTATGAAGAAAACAAAACAAAAACACAAAACAAAACAAAACAAAACAAAAAAACCCACAGAAAACAGAAGTATATGGGGATTGCTAAATGGGAAGAGAGAGTTGCCATGTTTTCCGTGTGGCTTGCTTGTGTTTTTCCATCCCAAGTCTGATGTTTTCAGAGAGACAATGCATGAAAACAGGATGGTAGCATCTCTTGAGAAAGATCTCCTAGCTGGCAAAGGCGGGGGGGGGTAGAATTCAGTACTTGGGAAGAAAGGGAGGAGATGCTACAGCCAACTCTCTCCAGATCTGCTAAGGTCTAGCCTGAGGTCATGGTACGTTGGAATCAGGGTAGAAGGGGCTCTGATGGTACAGGCTCATTATTGAAGGGTGTGGAAGAGTGGTTCATCTCTGCCTGTGGATCCCAAGGCAGGCTCTATGGGTTAGAAAAAGCAGTGCTGTGAGTAAGGATTCCATAGAGGAGGCCATTCAGGCGACAGACATTTATCGCATGCTTGCTGTTTCCAGGTACTAAACTAGGTCTTTAGTAGTGTTCAGGAAACAAGAGCCATGTAAGTAAGGACTGGGTAGGCAACAGCTCACTTAATAAAGAAATGGCATGGTATGTGCAACGGGAAAACAGACATGGGTGAGGGGGTTTGAGTTAGAATTTTAAATGGAATGGCTAGGTGAAGTCTCAGAACAAGGGAAATAAGTCAAGACCTTATTGAAGAGAGGTAGGGGCCCGGGGGAGGAGAGTGTGTTTGAGATACAGAGACCAACTATCATGGCTAGGTGGATGAGGCATTGGGGAGAGGAGAAAATAAATTGGCTAAGCTTCTGCCTCCTTTCTTGGTTGGAATAGGTCCTGGGTTGTGTACAAGACAATAGCAAACTGGGAAGCCTTTGAGTTCTTTTCCTGGCCCCAGGGAGTGTAACTGAAGGGTGGACTCAGGTTCAGATGAGGACTCTAACCTAGCAGCCAAACCCGGGGTTCTATGTGGAGTAGTGAACAAAGCTACCCAAATCTCTTGCTGTCAGTGTCCTCTGTGGCAAGACACCATGCCAGGTGGTGTGAGACTGGGTCCCGCTGAGCTCCCTGGGAACTTGTCTATAGTTACAAGTGCTCCTGAAGGCAGGCCACAGTGGGGCAAAGCCATGCTTCCCGCTAACATGCCATAGGCTGGAGATAATTCCAGGCCTCCCTCCTGTATGGTTTCCTTGTTTTTAAAATGATGTTATAATGTGTTTACCCAGCGTGCTTTGTGTCCGGTCTTTTGACATTGCAACACGCCATCGTCTATAGATGAGTTGAACGACATTCTTAGCTATCCTGGGACACATTCGGCACATGGCCTACTGATTGGGCATGCCTGAAAGAATGCTATGAGTGGTTTTTAGTGTCTTCACAAACATGTGAATTTGAGAAAATGTCATCACCTCCAAGCGAGGTCTTTTCTTTTGCCGCCTCCTCTCCAGTGTCTCCTCTTGATTGCCCTGCCCTGGACTTGAGCATGAGTGGGATCATGCAGTCTGTGGTTTTAGTGACTGACCTTCTTCACACTACCTAGTGTGTTCAGGGTTCACTCAGCTGTAGCCTGGTGCCCTGGTCTTCTTAAGTTTCCTGCCATTGGAGGGTGAGCGGCAGCCTTTGGTTCCCCGAAAGACGTGTTTGTTTGCTGAGGTCATAGAGGATCTTGGCTCCTTGGCTGTGAAAGAACCATGAGTAGTGAGATGAAATGCAACCGCCTGTGCTGGACTCTCTCTCATTTACCAGAGAGAGTGAGGAAAGAGCCTGGGACTTCCCCGAAGGCACCAAGTCTGCAGCTGGCGAAGACTAGCGACCTCCCTTCCGGGCCTTGGCCTCCAACAATGGGGGAAAGCTCTCAGACCTTGTCATGCTCCCCCTTGCCAGGCTCATCTCTAGGTCCTGCCACTATTCCTGCACTTACAGCACCACAGGGCCAGCAACATGGCTCAGCTGGAAAGGGTGCCTGTCATCAAGCTGAGTGACCTGAGCTTGATCCCAGGGACCCAGATGGTGAAGATGGAGAACCAAATCCTGAAAGTTGTTCCTGGACCCCACGCATGTGCTGTGGCTTCACAAACACATGTGCACACGAAATATACAACAAAAAATAAATAAGCAGATGATAGATAGACAGACAGACAGATAAACAAACAAATAAATAAATGGTGCTCAGGTTCAAACACGAGCTCCGCATCAAAAGGACAGGGTGCCGGGGTCATCTATGGGGACTTCTTCTCTCTCTCCTTTCCTCAGATGGCTTCTGAATCATTGAGTGTCATCTCTCTTTCAGTCATTGTGTCCCTCCCCCTCCCCCACCACACATTGCTATGACTCCCCTCTGTGGTCAGCCAGCCCCTTCCTGTCCTTAGTCCACTCCCCTCTCCTGTAGCCAAACCTGTTCTTTGAGTTCCACAAGAACAAAGCCCTTTACTCAGCTTTGTCGGGATTTATGGGTTCCTTGCTGGTTCATATATTGTTTCTCTTACTGAATAGGGAAAAAGAGAGAAGTTATTTAGAACGGGGCAATGACTTGGGGCTAAAGGAAAGTAATTATTGCGGAAGAGAGGGTCATTTCCCCCACATAGGGAGAGCTGCTGACAAAGCAGATAGCCCCATGGTGCTCCCTGACAGGCCAGGGAGGAACTTGAACTTCCACTTTGGACTTTTTTACAACGCCCCCAGCTTTTGGTTTCAGAAGCCATGAAGTCTTGGGGGATGGTAAAAGTTCATTGCTATCATTTACATTGAGGGCAGTTATGCCTCCATTTATTATACTGGTCAAAGTCTCTCACACACACAAACACACACACATAAACACATTCACATACAAGGGGTTGAGATATTAACTTGTCTGAGCACTAACCACTTCCTTCTCAAAAACTCTTGCTCAAGGGGGGTTGGGTTCAAACCTTGAACCTCAGGAATAAGCCACTTTAAATGGCTGTTTTCCATATTCAGTTATATATATTTTAATAAGCTTATTTTGGAATAGATTTAGATTTCTAGGAGAATGGCCAAAAACTTATTGAACAGGGGTTGTCAGTCTGTGTGGGTCATGACCCCTGGGGGGTTGAATGAACCCCCCCAACACCATTGGGGGGAAAAGGTATTTACATTATGATTTATAACATTAGGAAAATTACAGTTATGAAGTAGCGATGAGAGAAGGGGGGTTGGGGGCTCACAACATGAGAAGCTGTACTAAGGGGTCACAGCATGAAGGTTGACAACCAATGATTTAGAGAGTTCCCACATATTCCAAGGCCTTATTCTTATTGGAAACTTACGTTAATGTATTAATTTTACTGAAATTAGTGAACCAGTATTGATAATTATTGTTTTTGGGGTGGCGTGCCTTTTAAGTCAGGATGTCATCTCAGGCTAGCCTGGAACTTGCTGTATGTCTCATGTTGGAGGCTATAACTCTTGCTTCCCCTGCCGTGTTCTGGGTGATCAGTTGTTTATTAGTCTATTCTTTATTCAGGTCCTCCTAGTTTGTACAGAATGTCCCGGGTTCCCATTCAAGACACCACACTTCTTTTACTAGTGATGTCTCCTTAGATGCCTCCCAGCTGGGATTTTATCATATTTTCCTAGATTTCGATCACCTTTGACAAACCATTTTTAAAGATGGATTTTGTGTGTATCCGTGTTTTGCCTGCATGTATGTTTGTGCACCATGTGCGTGCCTGGTGCCTGAGGAAGTTAGAAGAGGGCATCAGTTTCCCTGGAACTGGAGTCACAGAAGGTGCGAGCTACCATGTAGACGTGGACACTGAACCTGGGTCCTCTCTAAGAGCAACCGTGCCCTTAGTTCCTGAGCCAATTCTCAAAACTCTTGGCAGTCTTTAAAAACTGCAAAAATTTTATTGATTCTTTGAGAATTTCATATGTGCATATAGTGTTTTTTATTATAGTCACCCTGGCCCCCCCAACTTGTCCTGGACCTCCTATTTTCTCCTCCCAACTTCATACTCTGCTTTAGAAAGTCTTGAGAAGCAGGAGTCAGTGACTTTTGTGGAATGCCACCCTGCGGTTGGATTTATCTGATGTTTTTCTATTGACTGGGAGGATATAGACTGGGAGAATAGATTTTGGAGTCGATCATGGACATGAAGTACGTTCTCAGTTTTAAGAGCACAGACTATTAACACTATTTCTGGTTGTTGCTAGTGATCTTGGTGATGGAGTGGAGGCAGTATTTGCTGGATTTGTACGCGGTAAAGTGACTTTCTCTGTCTTTCCACGTTGGATAGAAATCACTTGGAGAAGCCCACATTTAGGAAGAGAAGTGCTGTTTCCTTGAGGGTGGGACCATCTTCAGAAATTATCTGTGATTTGTATGAATAAGATTATCTGTATTTTCCCCCAGCTTTAAATTATCTCGTCTTTATTATTTTTGGTGCTGGAGAGAGCCTGAAGTAAAGACCTTGTGCTATGACACTGAGTTGCAGCCCAGGGTCCCCTCAGTTTATTTTCCCAGTCACCTAATTCTGTTACTATGGATGGACTAGTGGGCATTTATTTTATGCTCTGGCTTGCAATGCCTTATTGCATCTGCTTTCTTTCCCACACTGTTCCTACTTGGGCTGTGGGAGCTTATTCAGTTAATCTCATTTCCTTTACATACACTCATCATTTTATTTTTGCTCGAGCACATCCTTATTTATTACCATACAAGATGTTTTGGGCTCACCGTACATTTCTTGCCATCTGATATATATATTCTTAGAATCATTGGAAAAACCGATCATTTCTCTAAGAATCCCTGGCTTTTTAATTTTATTTTATTTTAGAAAATAGTATTACAAACCAATGGTACTAGATGTGTTTTAATTATATTTTCTGAATTATATTTTGCATTTCTTTGACCTTAGAAATTCAGTGTGTGGGTTCGGCAGTCAATGGGGTTCGGCAGTCAATGGAGTTCTGCAGTGAGCATCCGGAATGGCCCTCATGGTTCACTCCTTGGCAGCAGCTCAAGATCAATGCACTTTAATGTTGTCTATCAGTTGAGGCTATTGAGAGCATGCTTTCTGGACTTCTCTTGAGGACTGAGTGAGAGAGTGCACCTAGGTGCTTAATAGAGTGACAGGTCAATGCCCAGGAAAGAAAGATTAATTACAGCTTAAGCTTCCTTGATAACTCAGCATTTAAGGGATAGCAACTGTTAGAGAGAAACCAAAACTATGGAGAAATCTCCAGGGTCACATGTGCATTCATTTCCTCAGTAACGCCAATGCTGGGTGAAGAATCTTTCTCATAAGATTGGAGTAGTCGCTCATGGACACATAGTCTTCGGGACAGTTGAGATCTTTTCTTCTAAGACAACATCTCGAAGGACCCTTGCAACATCAGCTTTTAATAAGGGCCTCATGTAACTCGGGCTGGCATTGACACCTATGTGGAGCTGCCAGAGCTGGCGCTGAACTTTGATGATGTAGAAGTCAGGGGACAATTTGTGGGAATTGGTTCTCTTCTTCTACCATGTTGAGTTGTGTGTGCTGAGTTCAGGTCATCAGGCTTGGTGCAAGTGCCTTTACCTGCTAAGGCATGTGGCTGGTCTAGTGATGAACCTTTCATCCTCCTGCCTCCGCCTGTCAGGGTTGTCAGGTGCTAGGATTACTAGCCCCATCTCCTCCTTCCTCTTCTGAATTTTTTAAAATTAAAAATTTATTCTTTTATGTGTGTATGTGTGCATGTCTGTGTCTGCCAGTGTCAGCAGGGGCCAGAAGAAGACAATGGATCCCCTGAATCTGGAGTTACAGGCGATTGTGAGCTGCCTGACATGGGTGCTGGGTTTTGAACTGTTGTCCTCTAGAAGAGTGCTCTTAACCACTTAGCCATTTCTTCAGCCCCTAGCCTTGTGCTCTTAATGATGTTTTGTTTTTAATAGTCACGATATCTTTCTCTTCTCCTTTACTTCTTTGCCCACTTGTTAGTCTTTCTGAAAACATTACCAATGTCTTGGCATGGTGGCACATACCTCTAAATCCTGGCACTTGGGAGGTGGAGACAAAGGATCTAGAGTTCAAAGTGGCTACCTGGGGAGATGGCCAGAAAGAAAGGATTTCTCCCATGGTCTTTTCAGAGCTCAGGGCCTCAGGGACTTACTCTAACCCTGCCTATGACCTTACCTGGAACCATTCAGTGACATATGCACCAGAGATGACATTTACTTATTACGTTTATTGTGCCTGCGTACGTGTTGTTAGTAGCTGTGTACCATGGCATGCGTGTGGAGGTCAGAAGACAACTTTGTGGCATTTATTCTATCCCTCCACCTTTTGGGGATTGTACTTAGGTGGCCAAGTTGTTCAAAAGCACCTTTACACACTGAGACATCTCACCAGCCCAGGGCTGACATTTAATTGTAAATGTACAACTTAGAGTCCTGTTTCACGAATAGTCTAGTGTCCTTCTCCAATGGGGAAGATGGACCCCTGCTTCACTGTAGGATGCAGGGACACTTTGTGTTCATATGTTCCATGTCACTTCCAGAATAGGATGACAAAGCAAGGGTGAGATTAACATATGGTACAATGGTCACAGTGATGTTAGGAGCCTACTGTCTCTGAACTTTGATCCTTGGATGATGTGACTTGACTCTTTTATAAAATTCTTGGCGTATTTCCTGTTAGGAGGAAGTAGGGGGCAGGGGCAAAGACTTGAACTGGGAACCACCCTGAGTGTCAGTCCTGGCTCTGCTATTAGTTCGCTGAGTGTGAATTTGAATAAGCCCCTTCATTTTCTCCTGTAAATGACGAGTCTGGGCCAGGTGAACCCCGTACTCACACACCATGTTTGTTTCTGGCATCTATGCTTCGTAAGAGGGAGAAGAAAGTTTATGACACAGAGCAACTGTGGGGAGTGGACAGATGCCCTGGCAGAGGTCAAAGCATTCATTCACACTCTTTCCACTCACGTGCACTGCCAATGTGAGGATTGGGACTCTCGTTTCGAACTCTTGAGGGCTCTTTCCATATTTCAAGCTCTGTGCTGAGGGCTTGACCCGAAATACACATAAAAATTGGCATCCTGTTTCTACTTCCAGGTGAGTAAAGCGAGCCTCAGGAGATTTTAGTAGTTTTTCTAGGGTTGTGCAGTGAGCTGGCAGAGCCAGAGGTAGAACCCTCACAGTCTATCCTTCTCCTATGTTCCTGACCCCAGTATTTGAAACAGAACCATGTTTCCGGGTCAAGTCAAACAATCCAGTTACTGGCTTCCTCTGTGAGTCCTGGCTAAGTTACTCAACATGGCACACTGGACAACCCCCCACCTTTTATTTTGGTCATTTGAATGGGCTAGTAGTTGTCCCTATGGTCCAAGGATGCTGTGAGGGTGAAGTGACTTTACCAGGCAATGTGTGTGGAAAAAGACCTGAACAGCACAGGCTTTATATAAGTTCTTGCTGCCATTATCCTAGAGCAGACCAGCTATGGGGGATAAGGGCCGGGCAGTGTGGAGGTGATGCAATAGCTTCTGGGATCTAGAATAGCGGGATGTGTTTGTGTGTCTAGCACATCGCTGGGCTGCAAGTAGGGAAAAGGGTTGGACAGATGCGACAGGTAGATTTGGGAGGTTGTGGGTGTCAGGCCCCGCTGCATCCTGCCTCTCTCAGGTTTCAGACTGCCTCTTAGAAGGATCAGGCATGAATAACGAGCTTCATCCTTGTCTCCTTCTTGTAGGGAGGGGCCGAGGATGCGATGTCCTCATCTTCTACAGCCCAGATGCCGAGGAATGGTGCCAGTACCTACAGGACCTTTTCGTGTCCTGCCGACAGGTCCGCAGCCAGAAGATGCAGACATACCGGCTCGGGCCGGATTCCTCTTTCTCTGCCGGGGACCTGTGGGTCTTCCTGGATGCGCGATGCGTGCTGGTGCTACTGTCCGCGGGGCTGGTGGGGTGCTTCTGCCAGCCGGGACTGCTGCCGATGCTGCAGCGAGCCTTCCACCCTCCGCAACGGGTGGTGCGGCTGCTGTGCGGAGTGCAACCCAGCGACGAGGACTTCCAGGCCTTCTTTCCTGACTGGGACCACTGGCAGGAGCTCACTTGCGATGATGAGCCAGAGACCTACCTGGCGGCAGTGAGGAAGGCCATTTCTGAAGGTAAGGGTTCTAATGAGGCAGAGAGAGGCTAGCATATGAAAAATCACATAGCCGCGTTCTAGATCCAGGCGAAGTATCTTTATTTGAACATTGGTTATTTGTGCTAGAAAATGAAGAACGCTCTCTGAGGAGACCTGCTTTCCTCAGAAGCTCTAGGTTAGGGATCGAGTGCGTCCTAACATCTGCAAGGTCCTGGATTCAATCCCCTGAAGACTTAGACGTATTTCTTGGTTTATAGAAACCAGATTTCTAATGGGTTGAACCTTCTTTCTAGAATTTTCTATGCTTTGGAAGATTCTGAATTCAGGTACCCGACTAGAGAGCTGGGAGAGAAGGGAAAGACTTCTCTCAGTGGGGACTCCTGCTTGCAGTGCTCCTGCTTGCAGTGCTCCTGCTTGCAGTGCTCCTGTTTGTAGTGCTCCTGCTTGCAGTGCTCCTGTTTGCAGTGCTCCTGCTTGCAGTGCCCCTGCTTGCAGTGTTCCTACTTGTGTCCCTTTTCAGCCCTTGAAGTGCTGTCAGGTAAAGTGCTGTTTATGGAGAAATAACCCTCTTTTTTTCTGGTCCAGCCAGCTTCTGCCCTTTGCACTGCTTCTCTTTTCAAATTAGTAACATTCTAGTCCTTTCTGCAGGGCTGCTGACTTCAGTAGGCCAGGAAATATGACACACACACTCTTACTAACAGAAGCAGAAGATGGGCAGCGGGATGGACGCAGATCACAGCTTTTCTTCCCCTTTTGCCTTTCCTTTTTGGACTCCGTGTGTGCCGTGAGCAGGTTTTGCATTTGCCTTCTGTCTTCGTACCATTTGAGACCTAACATACCTGGCACCAGCCAAGAGACCTGGACAATTACCAGCCCAATTTCACTGTGCCTCTCTAGTCCCAGGGGTAACCTGCGCATTAATGTAGCTCATTCATCCCCTATCCCATCTCACCATCCAAACCCAGAACTCAAAAACTCTGAACTGGCCTGTGGTGCCTGTTTGAAATCCCAGCTAAGGTTGAGAGGCAGTGGCAGGAAGACCCGAAATTCAAGGTTGGCTCCAGGCATGTGAGTTCCTGGCCTGGGTAACTTAGTGAGGCTCTGTCCCCAGGGCGGAGTGGGAGGGAGTTACAAAGAGGGACGAGGAGGGAGCTGAGTTCAGGAACACTCTCCAGCGCTGAAGCAAGAACAACAGTTCTGTGTCCTGGTTTGCTTTCTATTGCTCTAGCAAAACATTCTGACTGAAGGATTTATTTTGGCTGATGGGCTTTGGTCTATCACCAAGGGGAGTTAAGGTAGGGACTTAGAGCAGGAGCTCACATCAGAAACCAGCCGGGAATGCTGCTTCATGGCTTGCTCCCCATGGCTTGCTCAGCTTGCTTTCTTATACAATCCAGGACTACCAGCCGCAGGTTGGTCCTCAGCACTCATTAGTCAAGAAAATGCTCCAAAGACACACCCATAGGCCAGTTTGACGGAGGCAATTCTTCAGTTGAGATTTCCTTCTTTCTGGGTGATATCAGGTATGATATAACCAGTGAGCAACACCAGGTCTCAGCATATGAACCTTGCTCCCTCTGTAATACAGATAACTGGCGTCAATGTAAGAGATGACTCACCTGAAATGCTTGGGACCCCAGAGAGCAATTCTCTAGAGTTTGCTCACCTTGACTTTGCAGTGACAGAAAAAGCACACCGTTTGAATGTCATGCTCATGTTTCGTTGCTTTTTGGGAGCTGTGAGCCATGCACTCTTGAAGAACCCTGACATACTGGTTCATCCTCCCCATGAGCTACATCACTGCAGAGGTCCAAGGTGACCCGCCTCAGTGCAGGCCACTGCGATCCTCCAAACAATCATTCAGAGATCCCTGGGAATACCATCACCTCACAGTATGTAGTCATAATTATTCTCTAAAATAGTAATGGTGGCGATGTTTAAAAAAATATATTAAAGGGTCGAGAAGAAGCTCAATGGTAAGGTGATCACCTAACACAGATGGGGGCATATGGTTGGAGTCCCAAGATGAGGTTGTGTGCTGGAGATAATACTTGGACTGCTCTTGCAAAGGACCCGAGTTTGATTCCTCTCACCCACTTCAGGTGGCTTACAACTACCAGTAACTTCAGCTCCAGGGGGATCCTATGCCTCTTGGCTCCTGAGACATCTATGCTCCTACGCACATACAAGCATATAGACACTCATGTATACACATAACTACCAGTAATAAATCTTAAAAACTAAAAGGAAGCAGGTCGTGGTGGCACACACCTTTAAGCCCAGCACTTGGGAGGCAGAAGCAGGTGGATCTCTGTGAGTTTGAGGCCAGCCTGGTCTACAGAGTGAGTTCCAGGATAGCCAGGGCTCGTGTTACATAGAGAAACCCTGTCTTGAAAATAAAAAGTGAAAGGGGTGCTTCTAATATCATTTGGATTTGTCCAGTGACTAGACATCTGCATACATCGATCTCCTCTGGTATTTTAGTCTACTGCAGATTCTGGCGCAGTGTGCTCTGAGCCTTTACCTTCCAGTGTTTCAGAAAGACAAATTATCTCACAGTTGTGTTCCTGTTCCGAGAACGAATAACCTGTCATTAGAAAGACATTATTTTAATAAGCAATTAAAACAAGCTGCTTAGTGGGAAATCCGCAGCTCAGAATCAATGGGTAGAGGAGTGTACAGAATTCAAGAAATATCGGGGATGTAAACATAGGTTGCTGGCGGTTACACGTTATCAGACTTGAATTTGAATGGATGGTTCTCAGATTTTCACGTGCAAAGAAGAACCTGGGGGACCTTATCCGCAACATATGCTAAGTGAAGGCTGGTGGAACGCAAGAGTCTGCATTTCCAACAAGCTCCTGTGCTGCTGCCAGTGGGGCCCAGGGTCCATCACTGTCAGGCCAGTGGTCGCAGCTCCACTGAGTATGAGCCATTTTCTCAGAGCGCCACTTCTCTGGAAACTAGGGCGGCTCCTGGGTACCCACTGGTCTAGGTATGAAATGGACTGGTGTTTGATGATTAACCCATTAGCCTTCAGTGTGGAAGCCCAGAGTTCTGTCTTGCTTACAGTCAGTGTGTTCACCCTGTCAGGTCTTAATCTTTCTCCTCTCTGGATAAAAATGGTTCTGACTCTGGGACAGAGGGGTCCTCCTGATGCATTAACCCCCTCTCTTTCTTTCCTTAACGATTGGTAATTATTTCTATCTCACGGGAAAAATATTTTGGAGGCTTTATGTTATCTCCAAGTTTGGCAGTGTTCTTAAAATTGAGAAGGCATTTTAATGAGGGTCCTCAGTGTATTTGAGTTTATCATTTGTAAAATGATGGGGTTGGACCAGATGACATGGAAGTTTTCTTCTAGCCCCCCCTGGGCTATCACACATTATTATACATTTTCCAAGAAGATGCCAAGTCACTCAAACTTTTCAACAGACCCAGTTCAGTTCCCAGCAGCAATGCCCAGCCCTGTATGGGAGGCTGTACTATTGTTCTGGATTCCTTTTTGGACTTACTGGGTGATTATTTTCAAATAAGGAAGTGAGAAAACCCAAGGCACAGCACAGCAATTATTTCCTCTTTTTTACTGAAGCTCTATTCTTTGCTGCAAATCTCACTGGAATTCAAAAATAGATTCTGTGAGACGTTGTGGGAAAGAACTCGTGCACGATACTGAGCGTATTTCAGAGGTTCTCCTGTGTGTTTGCACATATGTGCAAACATACATGCGTGCCCACATGCTGAGTATAGAGAGAAGCATGGCAGCTTTTGTCTAGCACTGAAATAGTGATCTTCTCTGCCTTTGAAATTATTTATTTATTCTGCGTGTTTGTGTTCCGCTGTGCAGAGGCCAGAGGATGACCTTCAGTGTCTTCCTCTCCAAGTGTCTTCCTCATTATTCTCCACTTTCCAGATAGGTTCTCTCACTGAGCCTGGAGCTTACAGATCAGCTAGATTGACTGCACCCCAGTGTCTTGCTTCCAGCACTAGGATTATCAAAAAGCTCCATCTTGCCTAGCTTTTAGGTGCGTGCTGGGACTTGAGCCTCGTCTGGTCCTTAGGCTTGAACAGAGAGCACTGTACTAAGAACCCAGCCCTTGTCAGCCTTCTGCATTTGCATTGTCCTGCTTCCCCTACCTCACCACACCGTTTCAGGAGGTCTCATGTTACCCCAAAATTATAATGTACTTTCCCTTTGGCTCCCTGGGAAACTTTGAGAGGATGATGTCTCTATCTGGTTTCCTTTGCTGATATTAGCATTCCGTTGGTTTTTACTTTATTGAGGTATAACTGACAAATAAAAATGAAATGTACTCTAAATGCAAAAAGAAGGATTTATAATACATCTATAGTGTAAAAATAATTAGCATGTTCAAATGAGTTAACCGTACTCCTCTCTCTCCCTCTGTGTGCGTCTGTGTTGAGAACTCTTTGCAAGCTCCGAGTAAACACTATGCTATTATTAACTCTAACTTCTGTGTTGCACAACAGAGTCCCAGAGCTTACTCATTTCAAGACTGCAGTTTGAACCTTTGGACAGAATGCCATCCCCCAGGCTCCATCCTGTCCCAGCCCGGGGCCACCACTTGCTACTTACTCTACTGCTATGAGTCTGACTTCTTTAGTGTCTGTGTGTAAGGGAGCTCATACAGCATTCGTCTCTCTGTGGCTCATGATGCTTACCATGATGTCCTCTGGGTTCATTCATGTTGCAAATGACAGGGTTTCCTACTGTTTTGCGGCTTGAGTAATATTCTTTTATGCATTTTCTCAAATTGAAATGGATATTCCCCCCCCAAATAAAGTAATATATACTTATCACAATGCATAAAACCCCCTGTGGTTTCTTTACGGTTTTTCCCTTCTTATAAATAAACGAGGAGAGTCTTCACTGGCTTCCTGGTTTTGTGAATCTCTGTTGATGTCTCCTCTTTCACATTTCCTCTAGCGTTCCCACAGACAGAGTGGAGAGCCTCCACTGGGTGTCCCCCCTTCCCCCCCATTGACTCGATCCCTTTG